ATATATATATTGTTCTATCTGCTCATAGGCAGCCAGAATTTCATCCTGATTACTTTCTCTTTCTTTTTCGTGCTCTATGGGAGCTGGCTAGATAAACGAAATTTCCTTTGATGATACACGACAGTGTAACAATTTTAAGAAAACGAGAACATGTTGTCGGCACTATTTTACTCTCCCTTCTTTTTATTCATTTCTAACTTGATTCTAACTGCCGAAGGATAAAACTGACGAATGCTGACAATACTATATTTTCATTGTTTGTGTCGTTGTCATTATGTAGTAATAACCTGTGTCAACTATAAGGAACATGACAATGCTTTGTCATTTCACTCGATACGACAAATGTGACTTTGAGAACAAATATGACTTTTGAGAACAAATGTGTTCTTTGTTAATGCGACAAACACAAAACAGAAGAGAATTCGGAATGTTTGTTAATAAATAAAGGTATCAACTGTCTAGGAAAGATAAACTTGTTTTAAATAAATTTTGTTTTATATTATTATTTCTTTAAAGATGAAGCAAATAAATAATAATATATGATTTGTATTCGTGATTGATAATTATTCGATGAATAACCAGTTTCATGTTGGTATAAATTAATTTTTTGCGAAAAGAATATATAATAAATTATAAAATTTAAATAATTGCTAATATGGGAAAAAGCTAACAATTCAGTATTTAAGTAACAAAGAAATTAATATTTATTAATAATGTTTGTTGACTGATGATAATATATATAATATTTCTATAATAATAATATATATTTGTTTTGAATAATATTATATATTTCACGTTGTTACGTTGTAATCTTTTCTATTGTAAATGTATAGAAATCAACATTACAAAATAAGAGCGTTAATTAATAATATTAAGTATTACTAGAAATTTATTTCCAATTACTAGTTATAAAAAAAAATAATTAGGCATAAAAATTTAAATAATAATCTTAAGAGAGTATATCCAACTCAAATAATAATTTTGAGAACTAATAACGATTTTATTAGAATAATTCTAATAATATTATATCTCATTGTAATTATATTAATATCTCGCTGTAATTTCATTAATCTACGATTATATTGTAAGTCAATAATTACAATTATAAAAAATAGATTATGAATACGTGCATTAGAATCTGCTCTTTGCGAATGACATTTCTATTATAATTCCTATTATAAATGCGGTTAATATCAACGATAGATTATGAAGCTATTTATTAATTAAAAAATTCAACTTACGTTCGCTCTAAACTCACGGTAGCGTAATATTCACAATTCCACCAAATCCCAAAGACTTCGACCAAGGATGGTGCTGGAACAATAAATGTTCTCTATCATACATCAAAATAATAATCAATTGTAAAGTCTTATATTCACAATACAGAAATAGGTCCAAAATCTCGGATGGAGAAAAAAATTGATCAATATCATGACTGAATTGTTTAAATATAATTCGTTAATTCTTTTTTCGAGATTTTGGAGCAATTCCCACCGTAGATACAAGATTTGATAATCAGTATTCATTATTTATAATTAGCGCACACACAATTAATTCCAAAGCATTAAAATTATTTTAAACAACGCAGCTTTAGCTAATGTACAGAATGCACAGCGCGAATCATCGTAGAAATGAATTTGCGTGCCGTGCAACTTTTATGCAAATAATGAAATTCGTGCACGTATCGCATATTTGGAATACGCTAACCGTTAAGCGTAAATCATTTAGCGCAGTAGGCGAAAGCTGGCGAAAATTTACTGTCTTTCGTTTTGAGCACGTTGTACAAAATTCTAGAAGAACAAACAGCGTATTTTCCGCACTTCGGATTCCATAGAACAGCGAAAGCAATCTCCGGTTCCGCATACAGTACACGGCGCAAACAACGAGAAACGAAAAAAAAACTTTCTGTTAAGGGAAAGTAAACGACGTCAAATCGATCGTTGTCGGATAAGCCGCTTTTTTTCGCCACAGGAGTCCTCGTTTAACAATGCATACCAAATAGCTGAGAAAAAAATACAACAATCGTTATCCGCGCTTGTTTAAAAAAAAGATGGGAGGTAGCACATGGCACGACTGTTACACTTGATACACTGTCGAATTGAGGATAACTAGGATTTAGTGCATGTGTATGTAAGATAGTTTGCAAATAATTGCGAAAAGATTTAATCATACCAATAGATTTTGTATCCGTTACAAAGATGATATTTGCACTCCTTATTCAAATAACAATTTTAGTTTTTTAATACTTCTTATATAGGATTTTGGTTACTTTATTATTCGTCGGCTATTATTAAAAGCACGAAAGATAATTTTGTAAAATTCAACAATATTCCTTGAAAGGAGTCTGTTAAATGTTTAATATAATGTTTGGAAATTAATAAAGAGAGAGTGCTTCTGTATAAATGAGAATCGCTATCTTTAGAAATGCTATCTTTATTCGAGAAATTAAATAGCTTTTACTCGCATTTTCGAGCCGCCGAAGATGGTTTCGGTTGAATGCCAAATTAGTTGTCGAATATTAATTTAAGGTGTACTAAGTTTTGTAATAGAATATGTTCAATAAAATTCAGAAAGTCGATAATTAATTAACGCGTTATTATTCCGCGGTTACGGCTATAGAAAAACAGCGGGTTAATCCATTTCAACTGATTCCCCAATTTTATCGGTGCGAAAGAACAATTATTAATAATATATTAATTATATCCGCATGTTATTCCTACTTCGCATTGACGCAATTTTATATCCGTTGATCAAAATTGTAACATATAACGAACTCATAGATTGCGTATATCAAATTCAATTAATTACAGTAATATCAAATATATGCGTTTTGTAAATCCATTAACAAAGTGATTAAAATTTGTTTTCTTTGTTTTTACATAGATATACATTTATTATTTAAAATCACAAATTATAAACGTATGCATATGTCGGTATTGCATTAACCATTCTGCTAATATATAATTTTCTTTTTACTATGTCTCGTAAGGTAAAAATGTAAAAGTGAAAACAAAATAAAGTTTGTATGAAATTGTTCTTCGTAGCATAGAAAAATAATCAATTAAATTAACAAGATATACTTAATATAGCAAATTTTGGTGGAAGTAAACAAAACTTCTGGTTATTAGAATCAAATATTGTGATACGCAAACAGAACATTTAGGTATGATGCCAGTTAAGTTTAGTTAATACATGTATAATTAAGTACCTGGTTATTATGACTACAGACAGATAAGAGCATGGATTGGGTTAATTTAACATGTATGATTAGAAGAGTATATTGTTAGAATTAAATAGAATTTCTAGTTATCATAATTAAATATTCTGATATTTCAACTGAGTTTTCATCAGAATTCATGCAACCATATATGTCTGGTTATAATAATCAAATTATTATAACCAAAATCATGGATCATTTATATTTCATCAGACAGATTATTATATCGTATTCAAGTTAATTCAACCAATTTTTTTCAATGTGTCCGAAGACTGGAGATTTAAAGCGTCATAATGAAATTCACATGAAAATATAAACATTTTTATTGCTTTTAATTCAGAGTGGATATTCGAGTATCCGTACATTGGCAGAAAGATTAATTTATCGCATTAATACTCAGTTCCACCAACGTAAACTAAACTTTAATATTGGTTCAATTTGTTCTCTATCTTTTTCTAATTTTAATAAGAATTAGACACAAGATTCTAAAAATTAGAAAAAGATAAACAGCATATACACATAAGTTAAATCAAGATTAAAGTTAATCATACATTGGTGGAGCCGGATCTAAGTCTACATGTTCTCATCACCAGTGACTAACGTATGGATCGTGTTTTCTAAGACAGCGCCTTTGAGTCTTAAGCTTAAGAAATTCCTCGTTAAAGATGAAAGCGGAGCCTCGTTACGAGGAATGGACGTGTAGTTTTCTTTGCTCTCGCTCGATGAGTAAATTAAGTTTCAAAATCAAAGGGTAGCTTTTTAGCAGCCCGCGCTGCGTACCGCAGATCCATCTAATCGGATTGCCGCGACGGCAAGAGGCACAATACACGGCCACTTTCCTCGTTTCAGCCATTGTCTTTTATATATTCTTCTCTTCTCAATTTCAAATGCGAAATGTCCACGACCGCTCGCGCCGCCATCTTCTTGCTCGGCTTCTCGCGCAGTAGACGTAACGCGAATTCAATTATTACCGAGAGAGGGAGAATTGTCGGGAAAAGCGCGATTTCGCACAGAAGAGCAAAGAAATATTGCGGAGAGAAAACGAAGCAAACGCGTGCAGAAGTAGTCGAGGGGAATGAAGGAAACGGTGCAGGAAAAGCAGAAGATGTAGGCTAAAAAGGAGGATTGGAGAACAAGCAGAGAAGATCAGCAAAACGAAATGTTGCACCGAGTTATATATTTTGTGTATACACCCGGAAAATATCATCTTGCGTTGTAAATATCTCAAATATTTAAGATGACTAATGCGTGAGCCTGCAAGCACAGAAGGAACATTGAAAGTGGATTTTGTTAATACGAAATACGTTCACTCGTAATGTATTATAAAGATAATTTTAGTCATTCGTTCTGAAATTATTTTATCGAGACACTTTCCGTACAAGACGAAAATCGATCAAAAATGAATGGGAAATTGATTTTCCGTAAACAGCAACAATATTTTTTACAGTTATCATTAATAAACGCGATCTCTATCTAATATGTCGCTGCAAAAATTTCTCGATATACCGGCACGATTAAAATTTATTTTACCGTGTATCGCTAAACGAAAATTGATTTTAACCCTTCCATTTTCTTCTTCGATCGGTTATACAATGTTGCACACGAAATAACGTACATACGAGCGATTGATCTCTTATCGCTCGCGGTTTTTTCCATAACGGCATGTGTCAACCTTCCCATGTCACGCGGGCAAATATTTGTCGAATTCATAGCAAAAACACGTTTCAATGGCACGCTCCATATGAGACCCAGACAGCGACGGAATTTATACGTTGCGCAACCATTTGTGTACGTCGCATAGTATCGCTATACATTTACTACGTGCCTGTACCACTGTCGGATGCAGATGTGAGCTATATGCCATCGACGGTCATGCAATGATTAAATTAGAAATAAATATAGAGAGTCACACTGATTGCGGCGAGTCCAATTGATCAAGTAGATCACTTCGTTTCCTTTCGGTGATTATTAAATATGCTATATCATTAAATTGTTAAATCAGCAAATCTACCGAGTCATTAATCTTTCGAGATACTATTTTTCGAAACTTTGCGAAACACTGTAAACGACAGAAATTAATTATTATAGCAATTTCGGTAATTCCGAAACAAAAATGCAAAATAAGAACGCAATCTATTTTCAAAAATTAATCTGATTTGATATTTGTATATTAATCTATGATGAAGTTTTTGATTACGTTATTTCTTACTTTAAAGAGTACAGTTTTAAAATAATTTATATGTCAGTCATTTTTTAAAAAGAGTTGATATATAGGCTACTCAAAATACTTCTCATTTTATTGCTTTTTTCGCTTCCCATAAATTGCATATTAGAAATTCATGTTCCCGTTTAAAAAATATGATACCTTGCTTTATGTGTAATGTTTTAAAATATAAGCAAAAATAAAAATATATTTAAGTGAATTATAACTGTTTGTTATGAACTGGACATAACTCCTCCATCATATACAATTTGTCCGTGTTAATGTAATATCTTGTCATGAAAGATTACGTATTTTGTTTGCGATTACTTGATATTTTTTATCACAAAGATGACATATTGCGTGTAATGGGACAGCTGCGATATACTATGCAATATATCATGTTAACAAAGCGCGCAATTTATAAAAATTAAAATTTGAAATAGATAACAGGTAGGATTTAATTTATACATTTAAGAAAGTTATTATAAATTATTCAAAAGTATTATTTCTGTTCAACATGATATTCGCACAAAAAGATAAGACTACAATTTTCTAAAAAAAGAAAAAAAATTATTTGAAAGAGAAAAACGTAAATTACGAAGGTCTATATAAAATATAATGATGCAATTATTTTAATTATTTCATCAAATAATATTTATCTTTGTTAAAAAATTATATATTTTTCAGAGGAAAGAACACGCACACGCACGCGCGCGCGTATATATATATATATATATATATGTATACATATATATAATACATATATATAATATGAGACATTCCTGTGCAGTGTTAAATTGTTGAGCGTCAGAGCACTTATGACGATGTAATCGGCGTACTCGCAACTCAACGTGATGCAAGGAAAACATGTTCCGCGAACTGATGTGAATTTCC